ATAGTGCTTCAGGTTAAGAACTTTGCTTCAGGATGAGAACAGAAATTGTGCTCCAGCGGCGCGGCGGCAGCAGGAGGCCCCATTATCTAAAGTGGTGCTTCAGGTTAAGAACCGACCTCTGGAATGAATTAAGTACAGTGGTACCTCAGGTTAAGTGCTTATTTCGTTCCAGAGGTCCATACTTAACCTGAAACTGTTCTGAACCTGAAGCACCACTTTAGCAAATGGGACCTCCCGCTGCTGCCACCGTAGTACGATTTATGTTCTCATCCTGAAGCAAAGTTCTTAACCCGAGGTACTATTTCTGGGTTATTGGAGTCTGTAACCTGAAGCGTATGTAACCTGAAGCGTATGTAACCCGAGGTACCACTGTAGTCGGTTAAGGACACCAAGAGTTGTTAGGCTCTACCCTGAGTAATACATTCGATTTGCAAGGCATTCAGGATCCAAGGTATAACTGTATATAGATATAGCTATAAAATCATAACAGAAAATACACAATATACCTGCTAGCCTGTTTAGTACACCAAATCCAGTAACTCTGGCTGTGTAGACTAGTCAACTTTTAAAGCACATTCAAAGCACATTTTTCTCCTCAAAGAATTCTGGGCACTGTAGTTTATGCCTCACAGACTTACAATTCCCTGCAGATCCCAGAATTCTGTGTGTGTGTGTTTTGAATGTGTTTTAAAGGTATAGAATATAGACAAACCTATTTGTCCGTGAAGAAGACCCATTTCTTCTTCCCTTTCCACACAACATTCCTTGTGCTTTGTTTCTTCTGCGCCCTTCAGGGAACGTGGCTGCCTTTGTGAGTCTGGATGGGCCACCAACATCATCCAACATAAACCACTAAACGACAGAAAGCCACCGCCATCGCCATCACCCCCTTACACACACACACAAACACACTTTCCCATCTGGCCTTGCTTAGAGTCAGCATTTCCATCAAGCACAGCCAAGAGAGCATCGCAGAAGCCAGCATCAAAACAGAGAGAAAGAGGCAGCCACAAATCAAGCGAAGCCAGAAATCAAGCGATCAACAACCCAAAGCCATACCCTGATATATTTATATATATATAGTGGTTTATTTCAGATAGATACATAAGCTAGGCTCCAAATGGTTCCTTAAACCAGGATTAGTCGCCAAGACAGAATGCCTAGTTGACATCTTGGGCCCAGGCAGCTCAAAAGCCTTGTTTTTTTCAGTATGACTTTTTGGTCCCTGAAATTTATTCTGATTGTGCAGATAAAATATAACAGATAGAATTCTACAGGATGCGTTGCTAAGTGTGTGGAAACAGTTAAGATCCAAGCATCTCTAGGCATGCACCTTCAGATGGTGGAGATGTGAAGTGCTATCCTGGCACCCAGGCATCTTCACTTGCTTGCAGGTGGGCAATAGCCAGGTGCAAAATGCGATTGACAAATTTGGAACGCTGCCACCATCACTCCACACAGCAACCGCTCTGGACCTGACATTCATAATCCGAGGTCCTTCTCTGTGTGTCGTCTCTGAGGGCAGTCTGGAGAGTGGCAACACAAGAGGCCTTTTTAGTGGTGGCTCCCTGCATGCAGAATGCTCTCCCCAGCGAAGTTCAACTGGCGCCGTCTTTATTTTTTTGGAACCAGGAAAATATTGCCCTCTTTTACACAGACTTTCGACTACTCGTGGCCTCTTTTAGCGGGGCAGGATCGGTTAAACCTGCCTTTTACTTCCATTGTTGCACTGGAAGTGGGGTTATAGGTTGTGTTTGCTGTAAGTGGTTTGTAAAGTCACGTTGGTTCACTTTTGTGAGGAAAGCAGCTAACAGATACAAATAATAACACTATATTTTTGTAAGGGGGGAAACCAAACAGCAAGGAGGCAAGCAAGCAAGTGGCTTGGATGGCAGGCAGCCCAGGCAAGCTGCTGAGGAGGAACAACATTTAAAGGAAAGTAGACACTCCAGAGAGCAACTGGGAGCACTGCTTTCTGAAGTGTGCCACCCCAGTTGGGCATTTAAAGATCTGCGAGGGAAGGGGGTGGGTGTTTGGGGACAGCTGAGCGGGAGAGGAGTTTGGAGCAAGCCATGGGGTGGATTTGGACAGGTTTAAATTAGGGAGAATCCAGGAGGTAGGGGGTTGCTGAGTGAAGTGAGCAACAACAACAGCCCCTAGTAATATTAACAGCAAAGGATCCTGTTGTATTAAACAAGACTGCAAAATATTATCAACTAACAGTGCAAGCCTACATGTGCCTAGTTATTCAAATTCAGTGTGATTTCTCCTATTAAGTACTGTACTACAGAATTGCAGCACTCTTGCCTCTTGCTTTCCCACCCTCAAAAAAGAAAGTCAGGACGGATTTCATTAGATATATCACACCACAAATAAAATGTCATAAATTGGAATACTGTTGAACTCACCCTATAACCCAAAGCTTGCGAAATCCTATACAAGCTCCTGTCTATTTTCCATTGTAGATGTTTAGATGGAGGGATTTAGATTGGGGAAACCGCAAGACGGAGGGAGGGGGAGAAAAAAGAATTAATCCTTTTTTTTCCTCCCACAGCCACAGGTGCATTAAAAAAACTATAAAACCAGGAGTCATACAATGAGAATTAAAGTCACATGGTTAAGGCAACGAGGGAGCACCTAACTTGCCCAAGCTTTCAAATTGTAAGGAAGCGTTGCAAGTTTGTTTCTAAAAATATTCTTACAATCATTCAGGGGCTTATTAATTAGAATCATAGAGTCGGAAGGGAATCATCCAGTCCAACCCACTGCCATGCAAGAATCTTTTGCCCAATATGGGGCTTGAATCCACGACCCTAAGGGCAGGAACGGGGAACCGGTGGCCCTCCTAATACTGCTGGACTCCAACTCCCATCAGCCCCAGCCAGAATGACCCATGGGTGATGGGCGTTGCATCCATTAACACCAGAAGGGTCCTTGTTTTAAGAATTATTCATGGAAACAGAATGAGAACCTCAGGGATTCCATTGATTATTATTTCTTCTTTCCCCCTCCCACTTTTTTTTTAAAACACATTTTAAAGCACATAGTTTTTTACACATAGTTAAAGCACATAGAAGGTACACTGGTGGCGCTGTGGGTTAAACCACAGAGCCTAGGACTTGCCGATCAGAAGGTCGGCAGTTCGAATCCCCGTGATGGGGTGAGCTCCCGTTGCTCGGTCCCTGCTCCTGCCAACCTAGCAGTTCGAAAGCACATCAAAGTGCAAGTAGATAAATAGGTACCACTCCGGCAGGAAGGTAAACGGCGTTTCCGTGCGCCGCTCTGGTTCGCCAGAAGTGGCTTAGTTATGCTGGCCACATGACCCGGAAGCTGTACGCCGGCTCCCTCGGCCAGTAAAGCGAGATGAGCGCCTCAACCCCAGAGTTGGTCACGACTGGACCTAATGGTCAGGGGTCCCTTTACCCTTTACCTTAAAGCACCTAGAACAGACTTCAGGTAGGAGCTGCTTAAACAACAGACTCTCATGACACAGCTACTGCGCCCATTTTGCAGCTGCGGAGCCGAGGCCTGAAGTATTCACCCAGCTGGACAGGGTTTGACCCCTGGGCCTTCCTTACCAATGTGCAAACATGGATGTCACCCAGAGTTTCATTTTTAAAAGAAAAGAAGAGAAGTAGCAACCCCAGCTCCAAGTCAACCCTTCCAGTAGTTCATGCCCTCTCACCTGGAAGCCCATTGCCTCACTCCATAAAGCAGTCGGAAGTGACTACAAGGCTGGCTCATGGCTTGGTGACTACCACATCGAGGGGTGACTTGCACATATGAATGAGGCAAGCCAGGCAGAGCTGCTGCAATACTTCAGCCACGTTTTTTTAAAAAATAGAGGAGTCCATCCCAGTGGTGTAGCGTGGGTTGTCAGCACCCGGGGCAAGGCAAGTAATTTGCGCCCCCTAACCCGTGGATTTGCACCCCCTAACCCGTGGATTTGCGCCCCCTAACCTGTGGATTTGCCCTAACCCCAGATGTTGCGCCCGGTGCGGCCGGCCCCCCCTGCACCCCCCACGCTACGCCACTGGTCCATCCCATAGTCACACCCTCCAAGCTGCAAATCGGTCAGGTGATGGTCTGTAGATGAATGAAGTGAACTGCCTCCAAGCTTGTTAGCAGTGGAAAGCATTCTGCATCTACTTAGAAACAACAACCCCTCCACATACTTCAAGGTGTGCTCCATCCCTGGTACCAAAGATGCCTAAACACAACTGACTGTCACTCTCCCCCAGCCACTCCTCTCTTGCCAAGTCCACTCAAAAGCAGTTGTCAACACAGGGCATCCTTAGCTAACAGCTCCATCCCTGCAAGATGAACAACCAGAGCCAGGCGGCCGTTCGCAGATGGTGTTCCTGTGTGTGCAGAACAGCTTTTCCCAAGATGGAGAAGCCGCATTAATTATTACATTATAATCCTCATTTTTTAAAGTGTTTTCCGGTCAACATTCTCCGTCCTCCGCTACGATCTGTAGTTTAAACCTCACCCTCCAAACCTGGGGAGAGGAGGAAGGGGGGAATATGTCGAATATCCCAAAGCTTGGTCCTCACCGGTGCCCCCTCACGCAAACTGCACCCCATAATAACAAGAGCCCTGCTTTCCCTCTCTTCCACCCAAGGACAACGATCAGCCCTTGGGGGGGGTGCATGTGTACATGTTTGGAAGGAGCCATACAGGCTCGGATATAATGCGTTGCCAAGGAAGGGCTGGCGCAGCAAACCTTTTCTGGTGGATGCTCAGATATTTTCCAATTTGGGGTGTATCTGCAGATCTCTCCACCCTCCCTCCCCCCCCAAGCCCCCAACCAGAAGCAGCCCCCTCCCCAACCCTTTGCATGCCTCTCCCCCCCCACTCCTTCCACCCTCCAGCCCAGAAACTGCATCCCACCCCTCCATCCCCTCCTTTGTTGCTGTCTCAGCAAAGGCAGCCACCCTGAAGAAGGTCTCCCTTTTGAATCCCAGCTTCCCTCCTTCTCCTGCACTGGGTGGGCTTACCTCCTTTCTTCTGACGGTGCAAGCTTGCTTTTTCCTTTTTTCCGCCCCCCCCTTTTTTTTTTTTTGCAGAGGGAAGGATCCGGCCTCGGCGGGGCTGATCTTAGGCCGCCTGCTCCCTCAAACAGAAACAGCTGTAATAATCCTGGTGGCAGCAGCAGCAGCAGCCAGCCACTCCCTTCGGATGCAGGCTCGCTGCATCCAAGTCACAAGGAGGAGAAACGGGGCGCGTGGACAAAAGGCGACGCCGGCGAGGACGGGGCGCCTGCTGCTGCTGCGAAGGAGCGTCCGCGCCGCCTCCCTGCATGAGTCTCGGCTCCGCGGGGGAAGCAGCGAGAGGGGGCGGCCCAGCGGGCTCTCGCGGGTCCCCTGCGCGAGATGCGCGCAAAAGCAGAGCTCTCCCGCCGCTGCCTTCGCGCCGCTTTGCAGGCGAACAAAAGGGGAAGGAGCCGAGCGGGAGGCGGGAGGGGCGCTCCAGCTGTTTTCACCAAGGTTGGATCTAGGCGCCGGCGTCTCTGCGTTTCTCGCGGGCCGGCGCTGCAGCGGAACTGAGGCGGGAGGGCGGGAAAAGGCTCGGCGCGTCATTTGGAGGGGGTGAAACTCATTTTTGCATATTTTTTTCCGCCAGCGAGCTGTCTTAAAAATATGTTTTGGGGTGTGGGGAATTCAAACCTGCAGTTGTTTTTTTACGACTGGACAAGATTTAGCTTTGTGTGTTGAAGATGCACCGAAACCAAAGCACTTTAATTTTCCTTTCTGGAAATGTCAGGTAATGCTGAAGAAGAAGAAGAAGAAGAAGAAGAAGAAGAAGAAGAAGAAGAAGAAGAAGAAGAAGAAGAAGAAGAAGTGCAAATACAACAACAACAACTGCAAATACAACAACTGCAAATACTTGCTGATCACCTTTAATTATTTCTATGCACACACATGTGACTTTCAAGCAAAGCTAAATTATATTAATTTATATCTTTATTCAAAATACCTTTTGAATTCCCAAGTCACATTGCAACTTTTTAGGACCCCTCATTTTTGGAAGTTGAAACTGGACAAATTCAACATGCCCGCCACACTGTGGATTTTTTATTTTATTTTTTAGCAGAGTGCACTTTGCAAAGTAGGAACAGGTTTGGGGAGCGAGACCATAGACTTGGTTTGCTGCTGAGCCTTTAATGGTGAAGTTCTCTCAGGCCTGGAGCTTCAGACTCCTTCACCAAGGAGCCGAAGTCCTACTGAAAGGCCAGTTACTGTACCTCCTGGGGAGGGTGTGTCTGCCTCTCTTACAACCACCCTGCGAGGTAGGTTAGGCAGAGAGAGAGGTCTCACCCAAATGGCTCAGTGGCTGAGTGGGGATTTGAACCCTGGTCTCACACCAATCTAGGGACGCGGGTGGCGCTGTGGGTAAAAGCCTCAGCGCCTAGGGCTTGCCGATCGAAAGGTCGGCGGTTCGAATCCCCGCGGCGGGGTGCGCTCCTGTTGCTCGGTCCCAGCGCCTGCCAACCTAGCAGTTCGAAAGCACTCTCGGGTGCAAGTAGATAAATAGGGACCGCTTACTAGCGGGAAGGTAAACGGCGTTTCCGTGTGCGGCTCTGGCTCGCCAGAGCAGCGATGTCACGCTGGCCACGTGACCCGGAAGTGTCTCTGGACAGCGCTGGCCCCCGGCCTCTTGAGTGAGATGGGCGCACAACCCCAGAGTCTGGCAAGACTGGCCCGTACGGGCAGGGGTACCTTTACCTTTACCTTACCTCACACCAATCTAACCACTACACCACACTGGCTCTCTTGGTCTTAGGTTTAATCCAATCACAACAGTGCCAGATTTAGGGTGGTGCAGGCCATTCCCTCCCACAGGGTGCCGAGCTGAGGGGGCGCAAAATTGAGAAGATCCATTTGGCATAGCTGTCAACTTTTCCCTTTTCTTGCGAGGAATCCTATTCGGAATAAGGGAATTTCCCTTTTAAAAGGGGGAAAGTTGACAGCTATGCCATTTGGGGGTGCAAATTTTGGCCTCGCACAGGGCAACGTATTATGAAAGAAGAAGAGTAGTAGTTTGGATTTGATATCCCGCTTTATCACTACCCGAAGGAGTCTCAAAGCGGCTAACATTCTCCTTTCCCTTCCTCCCCCACAACAAACACTCTGTGATGTGAGTGGGGCTGAGAGACTTCAGAGAAGTGTGACTAGCTCAAGGTCACCCAGCAGCTGCATGTGGAGGAGCGGGGAAGCGAACCCGGTTCACCAGATTACGAGTCCACTGCTCTTAACCACTACACCACGCTGGTTTACCAGACTCCAGCCCTGATCACAACGTTGCAAGATTGTGAAGGGATCCCTAACAGCAACCACAGGAAATCTTAAGGGTTAGCGTTTTGTATTATTTTGATTGCATTTTGAATGGACAGCCTATTTGTGTCTCTGCCAAAAAGCATTTTACTGTCTCTGAAACGGCCTCTTGCTACAATCAGCAAATGTTTCTTGCACTGGATTAAAAAAATCAATATCTGAAATACTACAATAAGGTGCAGAACCACACCCTTTAATTTTGTTTCTAAACTATGATTCCCTTTAAATAAATAGGGAACGCACAGAATTAACCTATAGGGTTGTGGCAGCAAAAATGAGGGACTGCTCAGAAACGGAAAGCCCTGAAACTACCCCTGGCTGGTGAGTGGATCAACAAGCTCTGGGAATTAGCTTCAGTGTCAAAACTAACCTACTACATCAGATCAAGAGAACAGATTTGTGGAGATATGGTCCCCATTTATAATACATTGCCAGAGAAATCATTCTCTTCCAAATGTTCAGTATGGTGTTGATGTTTTGAAGAATAGCTGATTCTAATAATTAGAAGTAGATTGGCTGTAATAAAACACAATGTAATAGGAGCCGGAGTGATGCAGTTATAAAAGTCAGAAATGCATAGCACTTCTTATATGTTCGTCACTGTTTTTAGATTACCATATTTTTTGCTCTATAAGACTCACATATAGAGCAATGTGTGTGCGTCCTATGGAGCGAATGCAGGCTGCGTAGCTATCACAGAAGCCAGAACAGCAAGAGGGATTGCTGCTTTCACTGCGCAGCGATCCCTCTTGCTGTTCTGGCTTCTGAGCTTCAGAATATTTATTTTCTTGTTTTCCTCCTCCAAAAACTAGGTGCGTCTTGTGGTCTGGTGCGTCTTATAGAGCAAAAAATACGGTAATTCCCATTAATCATTTGTTCATCTCACACTTGTGCCTTTCACTGTCACTATCCAAACAGCAAACTCTCTGTGTGTTTTCTTAAAAGCTGTAGAGCAAGGGCTTGCCGATCTTGGGTCTCCAGCTGTTTTTTGGACTACAACTCCCATCATCCAAGGATCAGTGGTCAGAGGTGATGGGAATTGTAGTCTAAAAACAGCTGGAAACAGTTTGGGAAATTCCGCTCCGGAGTGACAGAGCACTTCAGTTCACTTTAAGTGGATGGGGAAACCCAGTGATGTGGGCAGGGTACATGATGATGATGATGATGATGATGATGATGATGGTGATTGTAAACCCGTGTTTGCAGCACTGAAGTGACCTCTCTGGGGCGCAAACCTGGGTAGTGTGTATGGAGGGCCTGGGCTGCCCAGGTGAAAAGACCCTCCCCTCAGCATCACTGATGTAGTCCAAAGGAAAGCAGAATAATACATTTGGCACCAGCTTGGCTGCAGAAGTTGCCGGCCACTATTTGCTCAAATCCCACAAAATACTCAAGAAGCCCTGAGGTCATGTCTGTGACCTTATTCTACAACAAACCATACTACTACCACCCAGCTTCCCCTGCAAGAAGAATGTAGTGACCTTTAATGTATATTTAAAACAATCATTCAATTTCTTTTGTGAGATGAGTATCTTGCGTCCTTCAACGTCTTCAAAAGGGCACCAGCGCTATCATCTTGGTGATACGCGAGTTTATGTTGCATTTCACAGATGGATCATTTAAAAGGTTCGAAGTTAATCAAGGGGGGGGGCGGGAATCTTTAAATCAGCAGGCAGCTCTAAACAGAGTCCTCTCTAAAGACTAGCCAGAGGGGGATGCCTTGTGTTTTAAAGCCAAATGAAGTTTAATATGACACAAACCGGGCTTTTCACAACCAGGTGCCCTCCATCAGCACAGAGGAAGTCGCAGGGCTATTTAAGCCTCAGTCTGAGTGGAATGGTTGCTGGATTTGCATTCATAGAATTGTAGAGCTGGAAGGGACCCCATGAGTCATCCAGCCGAACCCCATGCAATGCAGGAATCTCAGCTAAAGCACCCATGGCAGATGGCCACACAGCCTCACTTTCCAGTGAAGGAAAGTCCACCACCTTCCAAGGTAGCCTGTTCCACTCTAAAACAGATCTTACAATCCAAATATCCTTTCTTGTAATTTGAATCCACTGTTTCGGGCCCTGCCCTCTGCACCACCAGAAGCCTGCCATATCTAAGTACAGTAAAGGCGCTACTTGGAGCTATCCAGGGTGCTATCGCTGCTTTGCCTGTTTGACCTCTGCCCAACCTTCCATATCTGGGCTTCCCCTCCAATATACAGTGGTATCTCGGGTTAAGTACTTAATTCATTCCGGAGGTCTGTCTTAACCTGAAACTGTTCTTAACCTGAAGCACCACTTTAGCTAATGGGGCCTCCTGCTGCCGCCGCGCCACCGGAGCACGATTTCTGTTCTTACCCTGAAGCAAAGTTCTCAACCTGAAGCACTATTTCTGGGTTAGCGGAGTGTGTAACCTGAAGCGTATGTAACCCTAGGTACCACTGTACAGTGGTGCCTCGCAAGACGAAATTAATTCGTTCCGCAAGTTTTGTCGTCTTGCGATTCTTTTCCGTCTTGCAAAGCACGGTGTCGGGAAAGTTTTGGAAAAGCTTCAAAAACCTCAAAAAGCTTTAAAAACCTCAAAAAAGGCTACCACATGAGTTGCTCCTCGAAGTCAAGTCGCAACTGTATTAACGGTGTTAAGAAAAAGGAAACAAACTTGCAAGACGTTTCCGTCTTGCAAAGCAAGCCCATAGGGAAAATCGTCTTGCGAAGCAGCTCAAAAAACAAAAAACCCTTTTGTCTAGCGAGTTTTTTGTCTTGCGAGGCATTCGTCTTGCGAGGTACCACTGTATTGGCCTTGCATTGTGGGAACTTGACCTGTGCATGACCTGATTGTGCTTCTTGGACCTGGAACTGGTATAGTATCTGGTGTCCCTGGACTCTCTGGCTTGTACATTCCCCCAATTGTGTCCCATCTGCACTGTATATCTGAAGTAGTTTTGTACCACTTTAATCAGTCATGTCTCCCCCCAAAGAATCCTGGGGGCTGCCCTTTGTTGCTTGGTGCTGAGAGTTGTTTGAAGGCCCCTATCCCCCTCACAGAGCTACAATTCCCAGAGGGAAGAGGGACTGCTTGTTAGACCTCTGTGGGGAAAATAAATAGGTCTTTGCCCAACACTGAAAAGACAACACTGTGAGCCCTAGGCAAGCATCACAGTAAATCCCCACCT